GTTATGTTTTGTTTAGTTGTTTGTTGTTACGTGTTTTGTTGTTTTTTCTGTTATCTGGAGCAATTTTATTTTATAACTGAAAATAAATAAATGACCCATGTTAACATACATAAATTGTGTCTGAGCACGCTAGAATAGTTTTATTATCACAATGCTGTTTTATCACTAAACTTTATTTTATGTCCAAGATGTCCAAGAGCAAAGGTGATAGACTTTTGGTTTGAACCGCAAACTAGATCAGTCGAAAGTAAATGATCCCTCATAGGTCCACAGGCAATAATACACTAAACATCTTTCTTACTCATGTTCCAGGGGAAGGCTCCAGTGATCGAAGCAGAAACCGACCCTCTGAGGTACATCCTGATGGGGATAGTGGCCGGCCTCGTCGTGGTGCTGACTGTCCTCACCACTTCCCTGATGTGCACTCGCAGAAAGTAAGATAACAAGTCAAATCATTTGGAATAAAGTTAGGGACATATGAAGCAAGTAATCAACCACAGTTTATCCCAGCAAAAGTTTCCATTGATCTAAAAACATACATGATTGTGACTGTGTCTGTACTTACCGCCTCGCTTCACTAACAGCTACAGGAGGAAGCTGAAGGCAGCTAAAGCCATGAACTCTGCCTCCATGGTGACCTCCAACAACCAAAAAAGTGGTGCTGTGGTGCCCGGGACCAACAAGTACACTATGGAGGGGTGAGCAGGAGCCAGAGGCATTAATGAGATACATCAATAAATAACTGACATGAAATATAACACATTTGTTCTCCCATGTGTGTCATTATTCGCTGACAGGGCTAATCCCGTCCTCAACCTCATCTACGATACCACCATGGCGCTGGACATGGACGAGGACAGCTCAGATGTGGACAAAGTCAGGTAAAGGAAACCTCTCTGGGACAGTCTCCCCCTTTATGTTGGGACTGGAGCAGTGATTTTCTCCGACACAAGGTGGAGGCTCAGTGACACACAAGCTTGCTCTGTGGCAGTGCTGGGTGAAAACTGTGAAGGTTTCCAGGTGAACATTTTGCCACAGCGTGCTCATAACAGCATGTTGTGATGGAGAACTGGCTTTTGGCTTTCCAACATTGGCATGTGACCTTTTAGAAAAAAACGTAACACAGATTTGACAGAAAAAAACACTATATTTCTGAAATTATTATTGGTGGATATAATAATTACTGCATCCTTCTGTTTTCCTCTACAGCGTCAACTCTTTGGACGACAGATATTCCATGAACGAAGCATCTAACATGGTGCGTTTACATTTTCAACTCCATCTTAATTTGTACTTTTTTTTAAATATGGTCTAATTTCCAAACTTGTCTGCTCCTCCATAGAAGAGCATCCAGGAGGAGGAAGAGGAGGAGGGGGATGATGGCGGGCCACCGAAGTACATCGAGCCTCTGGGTGCTGCGCTGGCCCAGCGGGGCCAGAAGAAAGCCTCCGACAAACCTCACGTGGGTTTCATTAACCCCGCGTTCAGCACGACGGACCTGTGAGGGAAACAATGACCAGAGGCCTCAGATGAACATTGTGCTGCTTCTGTGTAATCAGGCTGACCAAATGTCCAGTCAAACACTCTGATGGTGTTGGATGAAGTCTTTATACTGTAACTTCAAGAAGCCTTCTGTTGTGAACAGTAGTAATTTATTATTGATGTTAGATTCATGGCACCTAAAGTGATGAATATGCTTTGTTTAAAAATTCAGTTCAAAGGGATACAAAGGGAGAACCAAGTGGGAGGTTTTCTCTGGGATTACAAATCATACATTAATATCACATAGACTATTGATCTCATTGATTTTTGTTTGGTTATTGCATTGACTGTTTTTTGCCTGAACAGTAAAGAGAACATTTTGACATGTTTGGAAATGTTCCTTTTGAGTTAGATCCTAAAATGAATGCTACTGCAGCCAGTATTAATGTTTAACAACAGCCATAAATCACCTGAAAATCTCAGCTAGCTATTCCCCCATTCACAGTCTCTGCTAAAGTAAACTGTGGCTTAGCATTTATCACAAAGCCATGAGAGGTAATAACCTTACCTCGCAAATACGTGTATTTCCCTACTAACTCCTCCTATTAAATATTCTCATTCTTGACAATGAAAAATGGACAGAAGCAAAGGGAAAGCAAACAAAACAATTGCTTGTTGCACATGTGAATCACTTTATTTTTGTTAATATATTAAGCGAAAGTTTAAAAACCGTTAGGATTGCTTTGAAATTAACTGTATTATACGTTATGTCAACATACACAATGTTCATTTTGTTGCAGCTGATGCTATAAACAAAATCAATGTATGATTATTAATGAAATATGACTGCACGTCAGCCGTAGGTTAGACCTAAGGCCTGTTCGATGTCTCAGTGTTTGCTTTGAGTGTAAGAAGCGTGCTGCTGGAATAAAACCTCATGCAGTGTGACTTTCTACAAGCGGATTGGAAATATATTTCTGTTTACTGACATCTAAATGAATGTATCACGTGCAGTGCAAAGTGCAGTCTGAATAAAATCAGTTTCTCCAAATGTGGACTTTTATGAATGTAAAATGAACATCACTGACACTGTAACAACCTCTGGGATTCAAACACATTTAAAATAGGTTTCATCACATAGTTTACAACTGAATCACTAAACACAGTGTTAAAATACATTAAGTAGCAATGTTTAAAAATACCCTCATATCAGGTGTTGATTGTGCTCGGCATTTGTACAGTTTTTATAGTTTTCACAAAACAAGTCAAAGCAGCAAGCCAAATCTAAAAGCAGATTAAAGATGGACAAAAGCCTCTCTCCCACACATCAAGGCAATAATGAGATTGTTTTTCAACTTCCATACATTCGAGAAAAAAATGGCTGCAAAATGGCCCTCAGGCTGTGGCTACTGACCACACATTCATAAATAACAATGAGAAACGGTCACTGTCTGTCTTCTGTCCTGTATCTCCATCAGAGCTGTGTTAGGCTTGTAAGCAGAGAAGCATTGCCATGGCTTCATATTGTCTGAGGAACAAAAAAAAAAGCATCAGCAGCTAAAATGGCCCAGTGGAAAATGGAATGATCTGGGTGAAAAACAAAGGAGGAAAATAGGTCATCCTCATTTCTCCCAACATGGAAACCCCGAACAAAAAAAGGAACTGGCGGATCCTCAGAGCCCCCTGGTAGAAGTCTTAGATGCTTTTGTGCTTCTTTGTCTCGTGTAGGGGTTGATTTGCTTGTCACACTCTCAAGGCAATGTCACGTTGATGGAAATCAGTGTATCACAGACGCCGGGTATCGTGCTTTATTTTCAGCACAGGTTGTTTTCTCCCTCCGAACAGCTGTTGTTTTCTCCTCAGGATCCCGTGTCACTCAGCAGTGTGAGCTCTGGAGCAGCAGTGTGGCTGCTGCATGTTCTCCATCAGCAGGCGGAAGGGGTTTCTTCTGCGTCGGCTCACCCCTCCACCCTGCTCTCCCCTCTTCCCCGCCCGACCCTTACCCGAACCCGAACCTGACCCCGAACCAGATCCAGAACCCCCCCGGATGGACTCTGGAGAGAGGGGCACTGCTGAGGGGTTGAGCGGAGGAGGGGGAGGCATGGAGGGCTTCTGCTTCTTCACCTGTTTCTCCAGGTGTTTCTGGATGGCTGATCCCAGCACAGCCACCTCCACCACGGCCCCGTACACCTCCCACGTCATCCCTTTCTCATCCCAGCTCACCTCCTGCACCGGCTCCTCACTTTGCTCTTCACCATTCTCCTCCTCCTTTGTGTCCTCTTCAGCTGCCTCCACCTGTTTCTCTGCGCTTGCTTTATCCTCCTTTGTATCCTCCACCTCCTTGTTGACCACCACCTCCTTTTTGTCCTCCACCACCACCTCCTCTTTGACCTCCACCTCCTCTTTTTCCTCCACCACCACCTCCTTTTTGTCCTCCACCACCACCTCCTCTTTGACCACCACCTCCTCTTTGACCTCCACCACCACCACCTCCTTTTTGTCCTCCACCACCACCTCCACTTTGACAGCCACCTCCTCTTTGACCACCACCTCATCTTTGACCTCCACCTCCACTTTGTCCTCCACCACCACCTCCTTTTTGTCCTCCACCTCCTCTTTGACCTCCACCACCTCCTTTTTGTCCTCCACCTCCTCTTTAACCTCCACCACCTCCTTTTTGTCCTCCACCTTCTCTTTGACCTCCACCACCTCCTTTTTGTTCTCCACCACCACCTCCTCTTTGACCTCCACCACCTCCTTTTTGTTCTCCACCACCACCTCCTCTTTGACCTCCACCACCTCCCCTTCTCTTTGTCCTCCACCACCACCACCTCCACTTTGTCCTCCACCACCAGCAACTCCACTTTGTCCTCAACCACCACCTCCACTTTGTCCTCCACCACCACCTCCTCTTTGACCTCCACTATCTTCTCAACGCTTGCATCCTTCCTGATCTCAGGAAAGCTCATGGTGGTCGGTGTTCTGGGGGTCATAGGTGCTGTGGCCACGGAGTGATACTCCACCGGCTGACGGAGCTCCGCCTCTTCAGTCCCGGTGCCTACACCTTCACTCTTCCCCAAAGGGCTAGGGAAGAAGAAGGCCCGGTACCCTTCAGGAGGGGTCATAGGGCTGGTGGCCACAGACTGGCACTGCACCACCTCCAGGCTGACCTGGGTGCGGATGTTGTGGCGGCCGAAGGGAGCAGGAGATTCAGGGACAGGAGGCTTTGTCTCTCCTCTCAACTCTCCACATGCACCTTTGTTTTCCTCCACCTCTGAATGTTCAGCTGTCACGTCTGTATTTGGAACTACGCATTCAGTAACGCAGGTTTCTTCCATTTGCTTTTGTTGACCCTTTAAATCACCGTCGTTTTCTCGCTCTTCCTCAAATTCGTCTATTTTGACCATCTCTGTCTCAATGGGATAACAAGATGACTCGGCCTTCTCCTCCTCTTCTCCCTCATTGTTGCCATAGTGGGTCACCAGGATTGTAATGTCTTGATCCATACTTCCCATCCTCTGCTGTTTACACTGCTGTTTTCTATCCTCCATAGTTACTTGTGAAACCGACAACCCGGCGCTCTCTCTCTGCTCCTGCAGAGCTCCAGTTATCTCTGACTCAGCCTCTTCCAGACTTTGTGTCGTGGGGAAACACTCTTGGCCACTCTCGCTTTGCACCTTTTTCTCGTTCTGATCTTTCTGCACCGTCTCCCTCCCGATCAGCTCTGGAAAAGCCGTGGTGGAGGGCATCTTTGGGGTCATGGGGGATGTGGCCACAGAGCACAACTCCACCCGCTGCCCCACCTGAAGCTCAGCGCCCACAGCTCCCAGCTTCCCAAAGGAGCTGGGGAAGAAGAAGGACTGGCCGTCCTCAGGGGGGGTCATGGGGCTGGTGGCTGCGGAGCGGCACTGGACCACCTCCAGGCTGACCTGTGTGCGCATGTGCTGCTGGCCGAGGGGAGCGGGGGACCGAGGGTCTGAAGGGCCCGGAGTCACTGGCACAGGCACCGATATATTCTCAATATCTGCCACCTTTTCTCTGTCAGGACCCACGTTTTGATCCTTAGATGTCTCCTCCTGAATCCCCCCACCTCCAGCACTTTGGAACTTCTGAGAGATTGTTGTGTCGCTATGTTCAGTTGTTGTTTTATCATCTTCAGGCTGTTGTGTCAGAGGGATAGCGTTCGTCTGCATTGAGTCTTTGACAACACCTCCATCTGAAAGCTCTTGATCTTTGGATTTGGCATTTGTGTCCCTCTCCTCAACGTTTCTTTCGTTCATGGGAAGTTTTGGCTGATGAGTTGTTGACTCTTCACTCGTGTTTGTCTGAGGTCCCTTAGGCTCAGTGCCGCCATCTGAGCCGCGTGGACGCTCTCCATCCTCCTTCTCGCACGGCTTCTGGTCCTCTCTGAGACCTCTCATCTCCTCCTTCAGACTTCCCATTTGTCTCTGCATTAAAGTGGTGGAAGCACCTGCGGAGCACAACACAACACACACAGTAAGAAAAAAATGTAACTATAACAACAAGTGGAGGACACAATGAAGGATTTTTTTCCTTAAGAAAAATATGTCATGCGATATCTGTGTCAAGTATGAAAACTAAAAAAGAAGTAACATTATTGCTAGCGTTCGATGAAATAATTCACATGGTTTATTTGTATTATAAGACACTGTAGTGGAATATTTACTATTAATAAACAGCATTTAATATGTTAGATATTCTTTTGAACATTTTACAGTTGGATGATATATCAGACTGTGTCTTTCTACCTTTAAAACGTCACATGATAGCTCATATTTAAGTTTATTTTTAACCTGAAATATAATAAAAGCAATAAAGACATGCACAGGAGTCCAGAGCATTTGTTATTTTTGTAAACTATGAAGACTAACAGGATTAAAACAAACTGCAGGACATCACAAGTGACAAACATACCTCAGCAGTCTAAGTCAGACTGAAGTCTCTCCATCACTCTCCCTCACATCTGGGTAAAATCACAAAATCTCAGCGCTGATCGAGCCGCACATCTGTCTGTGCTTCTCCCCTGTTGATTGAAAGTGTTTGCAGTGGCTCCAGGTTTGTCTCCAGAAGAATCTATCTTAGGCAATCCTCGCTCTTTAAGCTCGGGCTGCCTCTATTGAAAAGCTTCACATTTTCCAGTTTCCCTGGAAACCACGGTCGGGTTCTGGCAGTGAGTGGTAATGTAATGACAAAATCTCCGTTCAGCTCTCTAATCATCACTAAATCATAGTAATTAACTCAAGGTTCTCATAGCAACACAATGGAAAACTGTGTGCAGGGATAAACCTGTGAGTTAGCAAACTTAAAAAAGAAGAAGTAACATTTGGATTAATAGCTCTGCTGTTACTACAGACGAGGGAGGGAGGGCGAAGTAGGCGCAAGAGGGATTTATCCTCATATAATGAATTGCTGCTTTTAGGAAAGATAGATCTGTGTGTCTGTGAAAGACACCTTTTTTTGTATTGTAGTAAAAAGCAGCAAAAAGAGTTTGGTGGATGCAGATCATTACAAGCCAGTGAATGGACTCAGAAAAGCAATGTAAATACTTGAAATGTGGAATATTAGTAAATGTAAGCTGCAACAGTGAGCGTAGATGAAAGGCAGCGGGGGATATCAGCTGAAGGAGCCTGGAGGAAGAAGAGCTGCACCTCCCACACACACACACACACACACACTTATAAACCACCACGTCTTTCACACTGATCCCTCCAACCTCTCCGCTCTGCGACGTGGATATATCTCAGAGATTCTGCTCACATCGGGTAATTGTGTGCAACCGAGGACATTAACATTTATCTTTCATTTTTTAACAATCCTCCCCGTCTTCATTTCACTGTAATGGTGTGCTGCAGGTTTGCAGGAGCAGTGTGTGCTGACAGGAGCAGTCTCACATTTAATTCAAAGGCCTCCACCAATCCCTGGCCGCCACAGAGTGCTGTTGCCTAGCAACCACGTAGTGTGATGCAGGGAGGTGTGCTGCTGAGGGCCGAGGTGGACAGCCTTGATCATATTCTCATCAGGAGCCATCAGCCTGCCAAAGGCCACATTCTCAGCAATGTGTTGGTAATAATGGCTGTGTTAGAGAGCGAAAACAGGAAGCAGCACAGACACGGTAATAGTGTCTACTGTAGGAGCCAGGAAATCACAGTTAAAAGAAAGAAACCTGAGTTGGTATCTGTTTTTATTTCCCAAAATAGGCACATTTAATGAAAACTACAACATGCAAGAAACACAAATGGAAAAATGTGAGAGGAGAAAAATAAATAAAGAGACAATTCATGAAGATTTCCTTTGAAGTTATAGCTGTTGGATATATATATATATACAGTATAAACATATATATATAATCCAACCTGGCAGTATTACTTCTTCATCTAAAATGGATATACAGACAACTTGGCTCCAGCTAGAATTTCTTCTTTTCAAGGTTCATTTGGTCTCCAGTTTCTGTCCGAACTCCTTGATGGTGTCCGTTGCCTTGTCCGCAGCTTTCCCTATGGCGACCTGCGTCTGTCTGCCAGCTTCAACAGCAGCTTCAGAGTCAGAGTGAAGCAGAGGAGAAACATTCAGGAAGCTAAACCACACATCAGAATTAGGCTAAGGTTTGCAGAATTTGATTAAGACAATCAAACTTTTTTAATAAACTCACATGCAAACTTGTGAGCATAACTATATATTTATTTGCATATAAAAAGCTCATCTCCAAAAAAATATATATATTAGGTTATCATTCTATTCCTGCAATATTTTGTCTCTAAAATGAATTTGAACAGAGCTACATTTGAATGAATATGTATTTCCATAGCGATGAAACACACAGTGTTACACAACCAAATAGGTGACTTCAGTGTCTTATCCTACATCGACCATAATGTGGGATCAAACTTCTTGTATCTTCTGACAGCTTGTACTGGACTCTAACTTGTGTCTGCTCAGAGTAATAACCATTATCACGCCATAAAGCTACAGAGACGGGGCGTGATCACTTTACCTGTGCTGGCTGTTTCTTTGGAGGACTCTGCCACCTGCTGCACGGCCTCGTGAGCTGCTTGCACTGCAAACACATGACAGAGACTTACAGTGGTGGAACTCAGGAGGAAACAAACTCATACATTATTTACGCTCCAAGTCATTTACAACTTAAAGACAAAAAATCAAGGACATTTATTGGAATAATTGCAATCAAGTAGCTCTTTTTTAACCAAGAGAAAAATAGCCTTTTCTCTGTCCACCAGACCTCACACTGGCCCAGTGTCATGTCACAGCAGTGGCTCTGTACCTGCAGTATCTGTGACTCCCTTGGTGGCCGAGTGGCTCGTGCCTTTCAGGCTCTCAAAGGACTTCTTGAACGAGGCCATGGCGCCGGTCTTTGTCCCTGCAGCCTCCTCACTTTGGTCTGAGCGGAGAGCGGCAGCAGAGGCTGTTTAGTACTCTCAGTTCGAGCCCGACACCCCCGAGCCTGCACGTTCCAGCCGGATTAACCCAAACAAAACCCCCCCAAAAGAGGCCGGGCGAGACTGGCATCCCAACTATGGCAGAATCCATCCAAGGGCATGAGCCCGCTCAGCAGATTTTACACATCCTGTAATCAAGCCCCCAGACTAGAGTGAGCAAAAAAGGGACACATGTGAGGACGGTGCATAATAGATCCTCATTCAGACCAACAGGCAGAAAATACAACTGAATTACAAGAGGCTCAAAATCTAATGAACGATCAATGCCAAAAGGGAGTTTAAACATTATCACACGACACTAACACGGTTTCTTTTTTACTTTTTATTTACAGAGGAATGTATGTCTGGCTTAACACATAAACCTTTATATTGACAAGTCCTGCAGATTAAAGCACGTATTGATATGACAACCATTATGATTTCAAGACATAATATATTGACTTTAACTTGTTAAAATCTTCAGTACACGCAAACACACGCACACACAAACATGTATACTCTGTCAATTTCTAACAGATTTACTGGAATGATTTCACAAGCAACTATAAAGATACAATGTAAAAAACTCTTACTTCAAAAAAGTTGAAAGAAATTTCCAAAGAAATGCAAAAAGAAAAGGAAAGAACCCACAAACAGGCATTGTCGACACTCATATTATTGTTTTTCATATCTGCTTGCAACCGGACATATTTCATATTTTCCACTCCCAATGTCTCATTGGAAGATGATGAACATCTATTGCACGTTTCTAAATACAGATACACACAAGTACAAAGTCACAAGCCCCGGCTCCGGTCTCATTTCATTGGGAGGGAGTCAAGGAAATGAGACCGAGAGGACACATCCTACATCTCAATAAATACCTACACCCAACACATTACATTAATAACATGACATTTACAATATATAATAATAAAAGATTTGTCTTGAAGGAAGAACATTTTTCAATGGGAATGCTTGTGTTTTTGTGTTTTTTTGCAACAGGGGTATAATTGTAATAGTTTCAGCATTTGTCCTTTTTATTATTAGAAGTATTATTGTGCTGCTGGTTTGTTGGTGGCTTGGACTGGTGCTTTTACGCCTCTGGCTCATAGTCCTGGCTTCCCTGGGGAAAGAAGAACTGATTTTAAGAGACAGGCAGCAGGTTAAATTCAACACCAAGACTCTAATATATGAATTGAAATGGGTTTATAAATAATAACTATGACAGAGTGGTTATGGTCAGAGCCGCTCCACTAAAGGTAGTGATGTCTATCTGAGCTGTGTGCTGTCTGAGAGCCTCTCTCCGCCTGCAGAGGGCAGCACATCGCTGCGCCAGCTGAAGGACGAGTCGTGAGCACATTACCAGCCTCCTTGTAACTCTGCACACGCCTCCTACACGCACATGACCATAAAACACAGCCTCCAGGAATGTGTATTAGGTCATCTGATGAATTCACAAAACCAAAAGTGATGCTGAATGAGACAGACAATTTTCTCCAAACCCCCCCTATGAGGGCTGGGCTCACTCTGCAGCACTCCATATTCAGAGCAATGCAGGCAGGGAGACCCTGACATTAACCACAATGCACTGAGGCAGTCAGCGTCATCACCACACCCATTCAGGCAGAGCTCGTACATCTCTGGTGTGGAGGGTGGGGGAGGGGAAAGCGATGCGGAGGAGAGGAGAGAGATGGAGCAGGGACACCAGCTACTGCCTCTTAGAAATTCCCTTTTAATTTACATCTCAGAGAATATCCAGGTTTCATTCCTTTAACTGAGGAATGCAATAATCCACTGAGGGAACATCTGACATAATGCACTGAATACATTGAAAACAAATTAAATATTGTGCAAAATCTCATAAAATCTTCCTATGTCTGAATATTATAATATTCACTGAGAATATAACCGTTTTAAAGCTAAAAACAAGACAATTTCAGTCTATTTTAATCATGAAATATACAATTGACAATATACATTTAATATAAGAACATAATGTTCACTGTGTGATAATTGTATTTACTCTTAAATCTGTATCAAAAGCAAATGGTTTTGCACAGTTTGTCTTCCCAAATGACCTCTAAATTCCAAAAATAGCCATTTGTGACACACACACACACACACACACACACACACACACACACACACACACACACACACACACACACACACACACACACACACACTATGTGGCACTGGCTTGTTTTCATATTTCCAGGGAAAGAAGAATGACCTCAGTGTGAGCTGTAGTATTTGTGTGGGACACAAGTGGGGTGGGGGGGGGCAAGTGTGAAGTGCTTTTGAAATGTATTACAGCTCGAATGTGTAACCAAGCAGGAGTGGTGAACACAGATCTACTATGGCTTTCAGGTTGGACATATAATAAAGCTATTTACGATAAAGCAATGGTTCCATTGTCATAAAGAGACAGGGGATGATGTATGGTATGGCAGAGACACGTTTGAGCTGTGAGTCGTGTTGTTACCTGCTGGGAGTCATCATATGTCTCCCCTTCTGGCTGCAGCATCCCCTCGCCCTGGCCCTCCATGGCCTCCTGCCCGTACTCCTCAGGCTGCAGACACACAGATAGGAGGAAGATGAAGAAGGACAATCTCCACAGAGCAGAAGCAGCTATGTGTGGTCACATCTTTCAATTCAAGACACAGATCCGCGTGTCAATGTTTGAATGTGTGTAAATACGGCATATTGGAAAAACCCAGAAAGTGGTTTAACAAACATTATCACTTTCTAAATCCACAGAGACAGAAAAGCATTTTTATAAAAAATGTTCCGCTTGTTAAAAAAGAAATCTCTTTCTTTATGTTGTATGAAATGTCAAAATAACGAAAGGTTATTTCAATATTCAAATTTGTGAGTCATCTGTCATTGTTAGATACATTTTAGTTTGATTCGTTTTCAGTAAGATGATAATAAGATGCTTCTGGAAAAGGTGTTATAAGTGTTGTTAAATGACCTTGAGAGCACTTGTCCAGCCTGAGATATCTTGATGACTGCAGGATGGATTGACATGAGATGTAATGTTCCACAGAGGATGAACTGTTATAACTTTGGATATTCCCATGACCTTTCATATAGCACTATCATGAGGTCCTATAATAAGACGGCAAACATGGTGAACATTACACCTTCCCTTCGTCAGTTACCATGGTCATCGTGAGCATGCTAGCAAATGACATTTAGATCAAACACAGTAGTCTCACAGAGCTCCAACCATGGCTGTCGACTCCCGGCCTCCTGTGATGGTTGTTTATTGTTTGTGAAATCTATCGCTTAGCAATGTGATGAATAACACAATGGTAATGGATGAGGGGCAACAACTGGGGCTCGGGAAGAATCAGCAGCGCATTAGTCTCTCATTACTTCTCTCACCTATTCAGTCTATGGCACTCAGCAAAAAGCAGATTTAGGTTAACAGAACACATCCATTTCTATAAATGGCTTACAGATGTATAGGCAACTTTTTCTATAAAGGATGAATGGTTTTCTAAAACAGCCGGGCACTGTGGTTTTCAGTAAACATGACTCAAACAGGAGACTCTTTTCAGCTGTGGGTTTTACACACTTGGTGCTCTGGAGATTAGCAGCAGCCAGACCATAGTGGTTGATTCAAAATAACTTAAGTGGCCTGTTCATTATTATAAAGGACTATAGCTCCTAATGCAGTGGTGTGCCTCGATGACGGCTTTCATATCAAAATGGTGGCACAGAGGAGTAATATTATCAGGTAAGATCAATTCATTGTTATGGTCTTTAGTGGTTTTATTAACAAAACGGAAAAAAAGGATACCACCAGTTTTATTGTTTAATATTCAAAGTAGGTTTTTAGCTAATGCTTTTTTTCATTATTGATTTAAATACAGATTTTATTCAACATTAATCAATGTGTGTCCAAAAGAGAATGGAAATGTAACGTCCCAGTTGTCTTCTTTTGGCAGTTCAAAACACTAAGACATTCAATATGATTATGATATATCAATTCAAATGATTAATTAGTTCACAAAATTGATTTGATTACTTATGATCCACTAATCGATTGGTGGACCTTTCGTCGGCTCTAATTCAAAGAGATACTGGTATTGATTGACATCTATCCTGTGAGCATCTCCTCCTGAGAGCTCTCTGAAGCAGACAGCGCGCCATCATCGTTGCACCTGCTACTACGAGCCCTTAAAACAAAGCTAGTGGGTCACCAAGCACTTATTTTTAAACGCAGCACTAATCAAGTCAATTAGGTCAGGAAGGGAGAGCAAATTGTAATCCTGTGAACTGTTTCAAGCTGCTGTTTTAGCTGCAAGCCCACCAACGCGATTATCATGGTCTTACAGGCTGCACAATGGCAAACAGCCGTAAAGATACACCTAATCAGACGGATCATCGCCTCGAGTAAACATGAAAAATACTGTTTACTTGATCACAGTGAAGACTTATTGTGTCTGATTGGTCACATTTGGATTGAGATGAGACTAGATAAGCTTTACTTTGAAACCATTTAGCCCAATTCTCCTAAACATCTAATCATTTTTGAAATATTTATTATATGCAGCAATGTGTAGCATACTGGCAATCTTCTTCTTAAAATACATCTGAAAGATACAGTCATACAGAGCGAATGAACAGCCCAACACAAGTTAGAACTGAACAAAACGTAACGTAACTGCACATGGAGCAATTAAGTTCAAAAGTTGAATAATCTACATTTTGAAATGAGTGGTTTGTCACTCATGTCGTGCCTCCGAGAAGCATATTTGAGCAGGCTGTCAGATGTACTAGATTAGTGAGTCAGTGGAGAGGGTCCAACTCTGAGGGATGAAAGCTTTGGACAGCTAGAGGACCTCAATGTTTCCCTGACAGTCTGATAGCCAAAGCAAAATGTCAACATGCTGACAGCGCACGGCCGGGTAAAAAAGTGTCCATCACTCCAATCTCCAGGCTGAGCTATATGTAGATATTTTAAATGTTCTATGTTTGTGGAAAGTCAAATCTGTTCCACCTCTCTCCTCGGATCAAAGTGTGTATAACCTGATCTGAGAGGAGACAGAGAGCGGTGACATTAGTAGAGGTCTGGTTACTATAATGGAGAAGCAGCTGTGTGCTGTAGAAAGATGATAGTCCCACTGAGAGATGGTTCAGGGTCATTTAAAGTACCTGAACATAAAACAGGCAGTGAGCCTATAGGCTATGTTAAAGACTGAAGGCAGCTCAGAGATTCATTGTTGTGTGGAAAAGCAATACATCCTCAGGATCACTCAAGCTTCCTCCAATAAAAGAAAGCCTTTACACAGTGGCATGTGTTTCTATTTTGACGGTATAAAAGCTGTCAATCAGCAGTTTACTTGCAGAAAAACATGATCATATTTTCTCTGGTGGGAAAATGAAAGTTCAGCAAAGTCAGTGCTGACAGCAGAGGAATAAAACAGGCCAGTATCTCTGTATCGAAGTGACACGCATATTTATCAGGCCGTGTTTATCCCTGCTGTCTAAATCTGGCTCCGCTACAAACACAGCCATGTCCAGAATGAACACAACAGTTGCCAACTGTTAGTGAGGCTAGGATCTGCAACGGAGGTTTTATTTATTATATTCTCTAGCTGATTCTCAGGCACGTGTGCACAAAGAGAAATATCCTGATTAGAGATTAACAGCAAGCTGCTGCATTGTTACCATGCACACGCAAGGCCGTTTGTAGTCAACCACCGTGGGAGTTCTTTAGGGATTCAAAGTCAGGATATGCTGCCTCCATTTTCAACTCTTATGCTTATTTCTTTGTGTCTAGTGAATTTCAAAATGTTCTTGAAGTTAAATATTATATTGCTGGAAAATCCTTTATAACGAGTGTCTTTCAAAGCATTTTGCAGTTGTATTAAGTATATTTGCAGCTATAATACCACCTTTAATTGGAGAGTAAAGATAAAAAAGTGTTTTTGAAAACCTTATTGTGTAGCATTAACCAATCCTACCCTCCAAGAAAGTCGAAAATATTCAAACTATTAATGACACAATGAAATCAAAACTAAAATAATGGCCAAATGACTAGATAGCACTGAGAGAGTTCTGGAACATTCACTGGTTCATTCATCTTCTTAAATGTAAGGATTTTCATGTGTCATCTTATCTCATATCTACGTTTTCGGACTGTGGAAAAAACCAGCAATTTGCACAGTTTTCGCTCTGAAAAGATGAAATAGAAATGTGCCTTTTTACAGTTTTAAACATTAATTGAGAGTAAAAAGTGTATGTGTCTGCAGCTCTGGTTGTACACATTCCATAAATTACATTTAAAAAACCCTATACTGGCCAAAATTGCATGTTATATAATGCTCTTAAATATGGATTGCAGTTATCAATCACTTCTATGTAATGCGAAAGAAAAGGGCCGACTGATTTCCTTAAGGTGTGGAGGTGCACACAGTAATTTGTCTGATAATGGGAGCTGAAGCAACTAGAACAGTGTGTCACACTTCCTGATGTGTGCTAGCAGGGAGCTGATGGGGCTGTAATGGCGTACATACATTCAGGTCAGCAGGGAACTCGTCCTTCCTCCCCAGGCCGGTGGCAGCGACCATGTTCCCGACGGCTCCAGTGGTCTTCTCAGCCACTGCAGGCAGAGACACACAAATATCAACATCTCAACAGATTCAGCAGGCAGATTAAAAGGCTGCACATTTCATCTGCTCTCTTTTGTTTCTCAATTGATGATTGTGCATAATGACCACTCACATATGATATGAGTGGTCAGTAAACAGACATCACCACAATGAATGAGCCTTTAGCCAGTTAGCAGTGAGTGTGGTCACTGTAAAGAAAGCATTCCTGCTACATTGATGATGTTAAGGTTTGACTAAGGGAGGGAACACTCACCTGAGCCCACACTGTCTTTGGCCTTGCTCCCTGAATGAATGAAAACAAGGAGAATGTTAGCATTTCTTTTACATTTAAGAAATTCAAGATTTGTTTTCTTTTGTGTGTCTAGATATGTATGGAAATGTAACCTTGGCTGCATCTAACAACTAAGGAAATATTTTTGACGAACTTTAATTTGTACCACCTTGATGGTTTGAGTATCATCTACCTGACAAAACGATTCACAACACACTGATGCTACAGAAATAGAAGCAGCTTTAGAAGCAGCAAAAGATTATTTGGATTATTAATGAGTCTGCCAATATATATTTACATCCAATGTGACGCCTCGACAAATCAGTTCTCATACAAAGGGATGCAATATCAATGTAGTGTTTGATTCACAGTTTGTCACAGCTCCAGAGGCAATAGAGAACAATCATGGCTGCAGTTCTTTCCTGGTACTTTTATTCTGAAGAGTTATTAAACTTTGTGGCCGGCTGAAACCAAAACCACTGATCGATTCTCTGAACTGTGGCATATCTCATCCATCTACACTGAACGCTGTCAAGACATGTGGGCAATCTACTGCGATCCCACTGGGTCTGCCCACTCCAGCCTTGACGTCCTCTCCACTGTGCAGCAGTCACATGCCTTATTGCTCCCTGAGGGTCTTTAAAAGCCAACCAACGGCAGACCAAAGGATGATGAAGTACAGAGCCATAACTACAAAAGGCGAGTCTCAAAGCAAAACATACGCCTAAGATGTAAATCCATTTAAACATCTGCTCTGGTAACAGATAATGGATTATAGCCGTAGGTAAGAATAAAGAAGGATTTATAATTACAAAAGGACTATTTTGAAGCGTATTCTCCTTTAGACATAAATGACCATGACCATGCTGACTGTTACAGCTTCCTTCAATAAACATAAAATACGCAATATAATGATTATTTGTAAGTAAATGAGTTGCAACACGATTAGGTTCTGAAGTTAAAATGGAAATAGTGTAGTGTGTAGTATGTAGGTCATGTGTGATTAGAAAATAGCAGGCTGAGTCTTGTTCTTGGGTGTGTCATACACGGAGACTGTCATTAGAGCGTAGAAAGAGGCTGTCAGTTGTGACATTAAATGACAAGCAGGGTTTTCTCATTTCCGCCTCTCCATGCCTCTTTCAGGCGGCTGCTCAGCTCAGCTGGGTGGGCGGGCTGCAGCAGCTGTCAAAAGGTGGGCCACAGGCCTATCAGATCACTCCTACCCCTCCTCCAAGAGGGGCCTTCAAGCGAATCATAGGGAGCTTTCTAGGGCACCGCCATGCTCTCGGAGCAGCACGCAGAGGATCAAAGATGCACCTTTCCCTTTCTGTGTACCACAGGCTAAATGATGAGACACCAAAGTGAGCCTGCACGTGTTTCGACTGCAGATCACCAAGATTTGATTCTGGTGATGAGTGACAGGGACACGGTGCTAAATATGTAGGGTAATTGGATTTCATCTAAATGCAGACACATCTGACAACCCTTCCTGGAATACCCAACGTCCCTCTATATACAATCAAAGCACACTGCCAGCCAATCAATGTTACGAGCTGGTGGCTGAAGAGCTACCAGCAGGGGGGGTCTGGAAATTTGGCCCCCTGACACAAGCTGAAAAACTGACAAATAAATAAATATCTGTAATGGCTGGCAGGCTCCAGGATGCTCTGAGTCACTTTCCCTCCCGCAACAGAGCTGGACAATACGGAATACATTTTGTATCACAAATGACATGGGGTTTGTCAGTGTAGGCAAACAGTTATATGTTAAATACATATTATTAAACAAGTGATTATTATATGGTTATATGGTACATGACACATGTACCAACATGCCAAAACATGATGTAGTCCCAGGCAGCTGATATATGACAACGTTTTATTTTTCTTTAAAACTGTGAACAGTCTTTAGGTTTAGAATGTTGGTTGGACAAAACTGAAGACATGACCACGAACTTTTAGGAAATTGGGATGACCATTTTCACTATTTCCTGACATTTTACGAACCAAAAGATTGATCACGTAATCATGAAAATAATACTTAAATGAATCCCTTTAAGGTTCTCTAAGTTATATTTCATTTGAATTGTGTTCAAAAAATGAATTCAATGAGCTTATCTGTAGTTACTTACTTAGTGTGACATTAAAATGTTGGTTAATAACATGGTTAAAGAATAACCTTGCAACACTGATATTTAAATTATTCATAGCTTTTACAAGTGGAGCGTAGAGCTGGAATATGTTGACTGTGTAAGCCAGCATTTCCCAACATTTCATTTGGACCACAGGGTGATCAAAAAGATGTAAGCACTGTTTCTGTCATTTTGTATCAAACCTCCACCCAGCTGCTTGCAAATCTTTCTTTCCACTTCTATGTCCCATGTGTTTTAGAGAGCTGCAACCAAAAGGTGCCTTAGTGATCCGTCCAAATAGTGTCCAACTCAATGTTTCATTAAAGTCTCATGCATTTTTCAGTTTTTCTTTTGAACTGACACAATTGGACATTCAAGACATCGTGTTGAACAATTTTACTATATTTGCACATTTTATGGACAAGATGATAAATGTTGAAAAAACATGGCTGATTGATCAATGGTAATACAAAAAAATCAATAGGTGCAGCCCTATATAACAATAGAATATTTTGAGTATTTGTTTTTTTTAAATCCATAGAAGAGAGGCACTTGTGTGCGAAGATATCTGTGATGGTGTCCATTACAGATATTTTGTTAAAGCAGAAGCCTTTGGTACGTTTATCTCCGGGAGGTGACCGCTGGCTGAGTCTGTTTTACAATCTGTTCAATGCACCGGCATGTGGGAAGAGCTGCTCACCACCTCCTGCAGCCCCACCCCCACCCAGGCTCCAATCGCCGGGAAAAGATGGGAACAGTCAAGTCAGCGAGAGGGCACGAGGATATTCAGAGCCTGGTATCGCATCATACACGTCAGAACCACTCCTTATAAAAGAGGGCGTCCTTTTTCAGAACTACTACTGGAGATAGTGAAAAGGAAAATTGCTTATAAATTACAAACTGCATGAAGGCTGATTTTTATTTATTTAATGATAGCTGCTATAATAAACTAATGTGAATTTAAAGATGTGTATTGAGTTGTACTTATCAAGCTGTACAACGTAACACATCATCTAAACTTAGAGCACACACTGAGTCTGATAATACAACTGTAGATATCAAAAGGAAAATATTAAGGTGTAATAATGTCATCTAAGTATTGTGATGATTAATAAAGAATTTAAACTAAGCATTAGCCTAAGGGAAACAGATGCCTGCTATTGATTGTGTCAGTAAAAGTGATATGTATAATGTAACTATTTGTTTCAGGACATTGGGAAATGATGCATGAGTTAAACTCTAAAATATTCTCTGCTGATTTTTGCTGCTCATGCATATAAGAAAACCATGAGCAGTCGCACAAACTAATGCGTACTAATTCAGATGCATTGTTCATGTTTTATTTATTTGTTCTTATATTTATTTGTATTTGCTTTTATTTTAATTTGTCCAGCAGTACACCAAAGCTAATCCCTTGTACATGAAAACCTGGCACTAAACCAGAGTCTGATCAACTATGTGTCTGTGAATGCTCTGCATCTTAAATAACCTCCTGAAAGATTTGTGATCGTCTTACCTACAAACATGACTCCTTCTTTAGTCTTCTCAGCTGCAACCGCAACTCCTTCCTTGGTCTTCTCTGCGGCCACAGCCATCCCCTCCTTCGCTTTAGACAAACCCTTCATAAACACATCCATCTTGGCCGATAACTGTGAAGAGATACCTGATGTCAGTCACTACCACTGCTGTGTACACATGTGATTTCACTTTATTTTGGAGCATGTGTGGCCTTTAATAGCTTATATATATACCACCTTCATTATGTCTAGCTATTTCTACAAACATCTATGTATATCAGGCTACTATATTATACTGTACGTTATATTAAAGAAAGCAGCAGCGCCTCCTCTGGTGGAGCCTGGCAACCGCAGTGCAGCCTTCATAGTAAAACCCCTGTTCACTCATGCATTCAACTCTTCTTTTCACATTCCCGTCAAAGCATGAAATATTCAAAGGAAAAAAAACAGATTTGAATGAAATGGTTAATTGTGGAGGCACTCATTAATTATTGCACGGGTGTAATGCTACTCTGAGAGAGGAGGCTGGGCTGCGCCTAGGAAGAAGAGCAGGCCCTTTGAAGGACTGTACATCATATTATACTAGAAGGTGGCATTATTTCACAAGCTACACACCGATGCTGGGGGAAGGGAGGCACGATCCACACTATCACATGTACGCGCATCACAGTTTTAACGTAGAATTGTGGATGTAATCTGAGCTGGTCCGATCACACGCAGGGGAAACATTTAAATAAAACAGACGAGGCTGCGGTCTAACAGCTCGAATTATATTCTTGCATTACACACCGATGCTGCCACAGTCCCATGCTGGCTGCTGCAGGTCAATCTTTTAATTGTCACATTCATTTAATATCCCGATGTCGACCATTTCTCGCGTTTACAACCGTGCCTGGATGTATTTCTTTGTCATTGCATTACCTTCCAGACACGATTTGACAATAATCATAAACGCAAAGTCCGATCATTTATTCAAAAATTACTTATTGTGCTGAGCTTTTAAAGTTGTTTCAAGCTTGTTGCAAACCTGTGACTTCAAATGACGACGCTCACATGCATACTCCTCAAATAGTGGTGACCTCTATATGTTTAAAAAACATGACACAAATAAATGTATTAATGAAAAAAAATATTCCTTACCTATTTACAAATAGCCGTCGACTTGTCCTCTTAATATTCAGTCGCACTATCGTCTAAATGGGAGATACTCAGATGATCACTGTGGGCCTTCCTCGCGCTGATCTGCTACAACAGGGACGGCCCCTTCTCAGGACGGTGGAGAATATCACACGCCCCCACCCTTCTCCTCTCCCAGCCCCTCCCATCTCCACTGGTTCCCTCCACTATATTGATCACCCATGTCTGGTCCAGCACAAAAAATGACCTTAGCAAAGCCACACCACCTCTGTCCCTTTTTCTATTGCAGCAGTTATATCTTGCAACAGCATATTATATAATATAGTTATAAAATGACAATGTGGCTATAGGAATATTATAATGAATTGACTATCTATAAATGGCACTGAGTTCAATAATATGGACTCCAGATGAAATTATTATCTCCTAATTTTATAGATTTAATACACCATCATTTTAGAACAAACTTTGAATGACCTACTTCACTCGTGGACTCCATTTTGGATTGTAGCAAAGCATTGCATTTTGGTTTGCTACTGCCACCCCTTGTTTCACTATTTATTATTTATTTATTTCACTGTTTATTGCCTTTCAATAGAACAATGTAATCACTCGTACAGTAAAGGTTTAATTTCAAGTAATTCATTGCATTTCATTTTCTAACTGCCCCAATGAGTCAAATATTATTTATAAAGTAGTCCAAAGACTGCCATGAGGTGGAATACGTTTAAAACCCCACTCCTGTGCAGTGTGCCAAAACTGGCATGCGTAGAGCAGGAGTGTGATCTGAGGGTGATACCATTTTGTGTAAGAGATAGGGGTATATTGATTCGGCATCATGGTGCTGCTGCAGCTGGATATTGATTTTTTTGACCAACCAAGGAGGTTAATTAAAGCTTCGAAAAGCGAAACACGTAGAAACTCAGTCGATATAATTATTTGTGAACCTTAAACAATTCAAAAATAGCCTACCGCAGGGATTGGGTAATGTCCGTTTATTTTGAACGCTGTATATTAGTCCTTAATAAGTCACGTGGTAATAGCTGCTTGGCATATTTAATTGAATGTGGTCACGAGCTCGTCGTGAGTTTATGGTGTATTTATTATGGACTGCAGCGAACGTCCATCAGCCAATCAGAGCAGAGGATGAGCTCAGATCATATCATTAGAAAAATATCGAACATTCCATCACGGCACGATGCTCTACCGGGCCAAAGTAGAACAAGAGAATAATCAAAAACACTAAATTGTAGTAATGATGGTGTCTCTAGAGAGTGCACGTCCCCCCGAGCTGATTTACGGCCTCGGTGGACCACCCCCTCCCTTTTCCCCCGTGTCTGACGTACATGCAGTGACGCAATCCTCGTTAAAGTGGGCGAGTGATTGCGAAATATTTTTTTCTCCCCACAACCCCCCCTCCCAGTTTGAGGAAATCCCAGATAACTACCTCTCCTGAAATTGTCCTGTCTCATCTGGTTTCTGAAAGCATGAGTAGGCAGGTTGTACCTTTGGGTCGGCATAGATTTTTGTCATTAAAGTATGTGCCATCATGTCTTGCGAGATGGGAAACGGTTTTACTTGCATACAAAAGGGGGAGCATCTGTGCTGTACCGGCCACAACTAACATTCACCTACCATCGTTTAAAGGGGAGGAAACCAACTTTTAGGATTTGTTTCCGATGGCTTTTAGGGTAACATAGACTAGAGTATACAATAATCCTTACCTCATTTTTCATCCTCCCACCAAATACATTTCAGTCTGATTAATGATCTATCACAGATCCATCTTATTCCAGATTTGAACAGTAAGTACAAATATTCATCCTCCATTGAGTCCCAGCTAGGTGCTGTCCATGGTCCTGAATAGAGCTGTGTCTCTGTCCACGGTGCTGAACTTCTCAAAGTTTCAAGCTTACAAGGCTTTATTGTCGTGTGCACATTAGCTACAGTGTAGATATGGCAATGAAAAACTTAACACAGGCTCATCCAACAGTGCAACATGAACATAGCACATAACACAAATAAAACAGATACAATAGTGCAAGAGAATGTTTTGAGATTTGCCAGCCAGCATCATACAGTTCTGCAGGACTGGGTGCAAGATGTCAGGGGTTACTAAAGTCTTCAACCCACACACCGCAGGAAAACGTTACATTCAATTAACATAAATGGTCTCTGAGAGGAATTCATTCAGCATCAGTCTTGCTGTCCTCACTGACTGTTGGTACTTGTAAGCCACATCTGCCCTCTGCTGGTCTTTCGTGGTAACACCATGCTTAATTTAGCATTTATTACATCCTTCACTATAATGGCTTTACTATTAAATGGAAGAGCTATTAAGGAGATCTACTTATGGTCTAATGATAACACAAACACCATTTATTTCATGAATTGGTTGCTAATAAACATCTACTACATCCATCTTAGCACTATGTATGAACATATTAAAAGCAGCATTGCCAAATGCATCCAATTCATTAGAACACCAGCAATGAAAGTAGCTATATCAATTCAGTTCCCATGCGCAGACCTAGGCTATTCAAAAGGAATAACTATTATTTTGAAAACACCCAAAATAATAGGTCACCATTTACTTAGTAACACTTGTTTTCTTTTGTCAAGATATTGTTAAAGCTCAGATTGGGACAATATGTATGGCAATTAATCAAATATGTAATTAATGCCCATTACATAACACATAACAGAATTGTTAATACTTTTCAATTAAGATTCTTAATTTCCCCATACTTGACCAAATTCAATCTACAGTCAACATTGTTGAGGTACATAGATTCACTTTCTGCTCACACTTGGGACCATAACACTTTATGCAATCCAATCAAACTAAAACACTTTTCTTTCCCTTTTATGGATGTATTGTTATTTGTATGTCAACAATCCCCCAGTTGGACAATAAATACAAACTAATCTAAGGATGGTTAAGTACATTGATAATGTAAAAGAGCAACCCTAAATATGATTTCAGCTAATAAAGAAATGGTTCAATACTCTGTGTGTTGCTCATTCACAGGACTCAGCTGAGCCTCAGCCACAGCGAGTAGTATTTAGAGTAAAACCAAACAGCGTCTGGAATTTGTTGCCAGTCTCTTTCCTTCAAGTCTCAAAGGAGTCTGAGAATTCAGTATCGGTGAGATATATCCAACTACAGCAGTCCTGTTGAATAAAGACTTTGGCAGTAAGTATTCAAATGAACACTAAGATCTAAGACCCATGACTCAGCAAAGTGAAATAAAAAACACACAGTAAGACTCCAACCTGTGACTTGCTTTGAACCAGATGCAAGGCAGAAGTGCTGAGTGTTCATGCATGCTGGGAATAATAGACACAAATGTTAATCAAATTGCTAATAAGCTAACAGATGCTCTTCTATCAGTCACGAGTAAAACACTTGTGGTTTAATTAAATAATACATTATTTACAAAACCAATCATTCATTACATTTCATAATTATTAACAGATTTTTTTAATCATTAAACTGAGATACTTGGAGATGTTTGTCATTTTCAAGCCAAGTGTAAATTGACATGGGAAGAACGACACAGAACACAACTTTATCCAAAACAATAAAATACACTCCAATACATCACTATTCAAGTAAAGCACTGTATTTACCATACATTACTAAAGTATCATACAAATACAATAAATACATTTGATGTTGATCCTCTGAGCCAGTTTGAAACCTCCCAAGCCGCTTATGACTTTTAAGATTTGTCATCTCACAGACTCACTGCCATGTACACAACAGTTTCCTTCCCCCGGGAACTCTTAAACCTGGAGGTACACACTCAGGGATCTGCCCCTAGTGGAGTGGCTGTGTAAAGCCCACAGTGGTATTCAATTATTTGTTCAGCTACTGAGGGATGGCGATTGAGAAAATAACTCCTACTCAGTTATCACTATCATAACAATGTCTGACCTTGTAATCTGTTCAGATCTTGTAGATTAATTACCGAGTTATGCCAGAGTTTTGAAATGGCTTGAATTGCTTTTCAATGACACCTGAAACTACCTCGTGTTTCTAACACACGCTTCTTGTTGACTGATAGAAACCTTAGAGGACCTTAAGAATTTTGTTTTTTAAGACCTTTTAAAGATACTGTTTACAAGACATAATCATAAGCAATTACACCTCATGTTGGTTTTAATGGTTAGCAGTTATGCCGCTTTAAAAAAAAGCTCAGATTTATGGGACTCCGTCTAGTTCCAGTAAACACATCACAGTTCGACCTGTTCCTGATTGGCTTCCCTCGGTGATAAACTCCTTCAAATTAACAGCGGTTTAATGAACAACACTTTGTACAGACTCCTCTCAGCAGGTCTACCTTGTGTGCATTAGAGGACTTGCTGTTTGCTATATAGGAGTCCAGAGTCAAGCCTCTGAAGACTTGGTTCTCCACTCCATTTAACAAATACCCTTTCCCTTCACTACATTAACTCACAGACTAAGAACACTTTAGAGAAAACAACTTGTCACAAGCCTTAGCACATCTGAAATCCAAATCATGAAAATAACACCTGCCTTAACTCCCAATTGAATTCAGGAGTTATGCTCAGTGGTCTACAGCAGAAGATTTAGTTTGCACAGATTGGTGTTGGAGTAAATGAGGGCAGGTCTGAGGCAGACTGTAGAGCCAGCTCCAGTCCCAGCAGCAGGCCAAAGATAAAAGTGATTCCCAAGCGTTATATTCTGGGAAATAAAATGTGAAATACAGTGTTCCCTGTGTGCAGTTCCAAAACTGCTGGCACAGACAGATTCCTCAGTCGGCAGCGGTTCTTTCAGCCCCCAGTGCACCCGCCTTTATCTATCATGGCGTCTTTACGACACGACCTCCTGCACAACGCTTTTCCTTTTACAGATCCATTGAGTGGACTCAGTCAGTCACAGCAAGCATTATATAATCCAATCAATCTGAGTTATAAAATCTTGACATAGGTCAGGCCGCGCTACAGCTGAAATTTACAGCTGTTTAGATTGCAAGTCATTTCCCCGTGGCGTGTGCATACACACTGCATCTGCCTCCAGGAGCCCAGTGAAAATAAAACCCAGCCGGTGAGGGACTTCAAATCTAACTTTTACTCCCTCGTTGAAGCAATCATGAGTGATTGG